TTTTTAAGAAAACGATAAAAATGAATAATTGCCTTGAGAAACGAGATTTTGAAATTCGAAATGTAAGGTATCATGACATTTATCCCACTATATTTATGCAGCGGATTTGGCACGATACTAATCTGGCAATAATCTAACTGGCACGAAGACATATATACAAGATGGTAGTAAAAATTCAGCTATGGGTCAAAAGTGACCCGGTGTCGGTTCGCCGCGTCACTCATTTACGTCGGCCAATCGATTAAGTTGACATAAAGATATTCTCAATTTATTTTACTCGTAATTAGAGGTGTGTGATTCCTCGAACTGGTGGTGTTCCACGACACCTAATCTTCGAGACATTTTTTCCTTCTTTTTCTTCGGTCTTTACCTATTTAGGCGCTATGATGTGATTCATCGATTTTCTTCCGGGTATGACAGAGGAAAATTTGTCACTTCCTAGAAAGACTAGTTTACTCGTTGAGAGTGTTCATTCATCACAAGGAACGAGATGTGTAATTGATAATTCACGTAGTATTAAATTACAATACAACGATCGTTGTGATTCTTCCATCCAAAGAATCTTCGGTCTTGCAAGAAAATGAAAGCACGATGTTATTCGAATATATGTTATTTACAACATGTTATTATTAAAGATTATCATTATTATTATTATCATTGAACGTCAACGAAATAAATGTTGTTATTAAGCGTTGAGAATTACATCAGGGAAACGTTTGACATCTCCTTGCAACAGTTTATTGCGTATTATAATTTATAGCTGTATTTCATTATAATTTATTATAAATGTATCAAAAAACTTCTGTTTGCGCGCTGTGAAACAGAACATGTTTTTCTCTTTTTCACGCAGTAAAACAACTTAATTCGCAGTTCATTGCGAGTAGGAATATTACGAGCTCATTACCATTTTCTTAACGACGACGTTAAACATTAAATCTTTGTGCGATATCCGCTGGTGGTTTGGAATCTATTTTCAAAACAGTGGTATCTGTTAAACGACATTCACAAATGTAGAATACAATACGTATTGAAAGATTCATTATAAGTCACATTGATTTGTTCGTTACCGAACAACGAACACCAAATGAACTGAAAAATCGTGAAATCGTGCTTACTACATCGAAACAATCACAAACGTTTACCTAAGCCAAGCTTACAGTTGGTTAGACCATTCAGCAACTCGATGCATGAACTCGTCTTCGTCGTCGTCGTCGTCGTTGTCCACCCAAGAATCGTCGTACAGTAAACCGTTACCGAAACAGTAAAACCACAATCTTGAAAACTGCGAATAAAAAGTATTGCGAACTTTGTGCGAATTTGCATGCAGACGCAGAGATAGGCTAACTGGCGGCCCTTGCCCCTACTTTCTCGATCGCTACCCCCTCCACTGCATCAGTCTCTCCGCTTGTGGAGGGGGTAGCCCTGACGATCACGAAAGTGGGGGCCAAGGACGACTCATGCCACCTCTGAGTGAAATTGCAAAAAGCGAGAACTCAAGAAAAATCTCTAAAATTTTCTTTACCCGGACTATGTCTGAATAGTCAAAACGCTGGACGCAGACACTCACGATCGCCGTCGTTATTAAGAGCACCAGAAAAATCAAACTGATCAACCTGGGCTTGTGATATTGGTATAGAGACTCCAAACTTTCGAACGTGCTTGTCTGAGACGAATGCAAGGAGTCGAAGCACTTGATCGCCACGTCCATCGTCATCGTCATTGTCACACGATACTCTAAAATACTACTAGTCCACAACTAACTAAAATACTTCGCATTTGGCGGTTCAGAGGTCCGAACAGTAGAATCAGATGCTCTTGCGAAGACGTGGAGGCCCGGCAACGATAGTTTTAGCACGATAGATCGGCTGGCGTTTGCGAACTGCAATCCGCGCGGCGAGAACATGTGTAACCAGAAATGCGGTGCACGAGTGTAAAGTTCGGCGAGGCGTAGGAAGTCTCGTGAGAGCGAGAAAGGGAAGAGAGTACATACGAGTGGCACGGCGCGGCGCGGCGCGGCGAGTCGGCCAGAGAAAAGGATTTCAAGCTATTGGATAGAGAGCGAGCAAACGAGCGAGCGAGAGACGGCCCGTCCCACGACGGAGCGGCTCGTGGTGGGGTGTCAGCCGCGGCTTATCTGGCGACTTTATGTATATTACGATGCCCAAGGCAGGAACACGAGCAGTTCACTGCTGGCTAACTGGTCGGAGAAGTCGGCGAAGCCGAGTCTGAGCCCGACGGCCCAATTCACCGAGAGAAACGTGCTCGCCCGTCACGTTGAGACGACTGAGTTTGTAAAATCTTTCGACGTCGCGTACACGCACACGTTGAGACACGCGGATATTTACGTTTGCTGCGTGTATAAATATATGTGTGTGTATAAATATATATACATATATATATACGAAAAATAGACATTCGCGCGTGCATATTGTCGGTCAGGTGCGCGAAAACAAAACCGTAGCAGTGGAAGCCCGAGGCTATCCGGTGTTTGGCAAGCTGTCGCTGATTCTCAGTGATCACTACGATCCAGGATGATCGTCCTCGCATGGTCCTTGTTCGTGCTGGTTTCGTTACTCGTCTCCAATCAAGCGTTCCTCGCTACTCCCGTATCAGGTATTGACGAGTGATCATTTTCTTCTTTTTTTTTTTTTTTTTTATGTGAAAGTAACTGTTCATATTGATATGTACGTCTGTGTCACTGTGGGACTTGAAAGAATAAGATAATTCAATATCGATTATTTTTCCTTTTTCTCGATTTTTGCTGTAATATTACAGTGCACGTACACAGACAGGTGAACCTACATGTGTTTCATTTTGAACCAAGAAGTGAAAACACCAACGTCTGTGAGTAAATGTCAATTGTTCGCACGCAAGGTACGTTTCGAAGTAGACAAATTTCGTACGTTTCTTCGAATCGTTTCTTTGACAAAAGTCAAACCTAGTTGCCTTATCGGATAAAGAGCCGCCGTGTCTCACGTGGCGCCTCCGCGATTGAATTCTCCGCGGTCGCTGGAGAAATTGGCGCACACGTGTGTTTCGTTCTCGTATCGAAAGACACGGGTTCCCAGTTCGAAGATTCTGGTAAGCGTGACTTTCTCGAGTGTTTGATAAACGGACGAGTGAGTAAACAGTGATCGGCTAGATTCGGGCTTGAACCGAACGAACATCCTACGCACGAACTCGTAACATGGCACGTATCACAGTTTTGTGAATGAATCGCGGCCTCGTTCGTTTTAATAGTTCCCGATGCATCGTCGCTTGAAAGACTCACGTGATCGCCGCGTTAAATTAACGATAATTTCACAACAGCATGATTTTTACGTGCTTGCTTACGATATGTCAGCTTGTAATTGATTGCTGTTTTTCGGTGGACTAATGTTACACCCGGGAGCTGATACTTTGTGCAACATAGGTCGTTTATGTAACCTCCAAGTCACGTGAAATTACAGAGAGCGAGTACGTACGTACAACTCTGTCGGCCAAACTTTTTACGCCTTAGTCAGTGTACTATCGTTATACTACGTTAAGAATCTTGGAGAGTTTTTTTTAGCGAGTTTTTCTACCTTCACATTTTCAAATTATTTCAAGTCTGATAAGATATCGTCTACTTTCACCTTTCAAATTAGTTTAATTTATTTATATTATATTGCTGCTCTCGTGGTGTCACTTATCATCCTAAATGACAATCGACATTGCAACACGTGCACGATGTAGCTGATTTGTTAACTTATTCGACTGTTTGAAGCGAATTTTGTTCTTTAATTCTCGATTTTTTTCTTTTGTTATTTGAAGATTTACGATTGTGTATACCTGCGCAAAGAAACCAAGGCCAGCTTTGCCATAGTTTTAGTACCGTTAAAGCTATATTGCTTCCGTTCATCATACTCGTTTAAACGTCATTTATACATTAGTTCGAAATTTCGTTGTCCCTGCTAAATTTATAAAGTCTATAAATTTATTGTTATCAGTTTCTCCTTATTATATTACCATGGTATATCTTTATATTATGGATGCTACGAATCTATAGGGTGCGTCAAAAGTTTCTTCCCACCTATCTCTTTTTCTTTTGTTCAATAAAACATCAAAATGTAAGAGAAAATTAATTCTTTTAACTTTGAATTAAATTTAAGTGCAAACATGATTTTTTTCATCATGTTTCAAAAAATTATTTCCTTCAAATGTTGACCGTCAGAGCGATCGCAAATTTACGATTTTATTTTAGTAGGTTTGTGAGAAAATACAGAATATCAATAAATACACGAAAATCGAAATAGATCATTTTACAATTAACCCACTGTCTATATTGTAGGACTTTGATAAAAGATGGTTGTTTATTTAAAGTTAAAAAATAAGAAATTTTATTTAATGGTGATTTTACACTGTTCTCTCGTAATATTTACTCGCTAACATCGCTAGACTCGCAGCTCTCAACTCACTTTGTTCTCTCTGGCTGCTCGAAACTCACTGCCTTTTTCCTCATCTACACAAAATTCGTCATTCATACACAGATACACACAAACGCATCCATACCCTCAGTATCTTAAATGCTAGGCCTGGAGGGTTAGTCATAAACATTTCCAAGTCCCAGGCCTAACCTTCTCTACCTGCACTTGGGACATATAATTACAATTGTTGGGCACTGGAGAAAGTGCTGGGCCTTTTCTCAGAATTTGCCCATCCCACAATATTTATTTTACTAGGATAAATAAAATTAGCTCTTTCTTAGATTTTTGATGATTTATTATATTATATTATATTATTATTATATTATATTACATTCTATTATATTATATTATATTATATTATTATCATATTATATTATATTATTATCATATTATATTATTATATTGTATCATTTTATTATATTAAAAGAAATGGATGGGAAGAAACTTTTGGCCCACTCTATACAAATCGCAACACCAATATGAAAAATATCTTTGCTCAGTTGAACTATTTGATTTCTCTCTCACAACAATTGCCAACAATTTTCTAAATTGTCCAAACGAGATGACAAATGAAGAGAAATTCAAACGGAATGTCACGCACGAATGTTAGCGCCTAATATCGATCACAAAGATAGAAATTCATCCTCCGATGGCAGTTCGCATGTTTAACCTGGTTCTATCAGTCGAACGGTTAGATTTAACTTCCGTGGATCGTCAGCCAGCGAGCAGTAGAGATAGCTAAGTGAAAATTCAGCTTGAATCGTTGCCACCGGCTAATATTTCCGACAAGTTTGCCACATATCAAAATTGATCATCATCCAATTTTATCGGCTATTCCCCTCTTATTCGAGCTTCTTACTCAGACATTGTATAACTTGCGTTCCAAATTTACACATCTGTCCTCACGTGTCAATCCGCTCTGTTATTTAACTGTGAACCAGTTAAACATATTGTATCCTATTTCTCTTTGAACTTTGTTCATTTCAACTTTAATGCAAAGCATCGTGATTTGATTAATTGGCGTTAATCGTCAAGTAAATTTTAATCAAGCGAAACAATCTTTAAAAGATATTTTTCACATTGGTATTATGATTTGTATAGGGTGGGCCAAAAGTTTTTTTTTTTTAATACAATGAAGTAACATTTTAATTAGTTATAAATTAATAATTTAATTATTTTAATTTTAAGTAAAATTTTAATACAATATAATATACTACAATTTACTCGGGTGAAGGAAAAAAGTTACGAATGAAGTGAGATTAAATGACATGCATTTTTGTTAGTTGAAACGTGAACGCAGGCTGTGAAACAGTCGGTAAATAGAAGGTTTGTAGGTAGTCGATCGTTCGAACCGATGCGATCAGAAACTAATTAGCCAGAGAGACTCGAATTATGAAACTTCTTCGCGTCGATCGATGCCAATCGGTATATTACTGATGTTCGATAACTATTTCTAGCGAGATTTATTCGATAAAAGAGGCGTCCATCAATCATCCCGTTCGATCCTCGTGCAGAAAAACGTCATCTTCTAATTTTCAATTCAAGCATAATTCGTCATATCATGTAACAACACATATCTAACAAGCTACTCTTTTTTCTTACAAAACATCATACGGTTTACAGTTCTAAAAGCTTGCTTTGCGGATTATAATTTAAAAAAAAAAGAAAAAGAAAATCCTAAAAATTCTGAAAACAAGTTCTCCTCTCTCGTGCAACATAAAAAATTCTCTCTTTGGTGCAATTAAAAATTCTGAATAACCTTTTTGGTAGGTACAACTTGAAAATGTGTTTTCTTCTGTGTTCCCTATTTTTCAACAAAAAATTCAATACTTATATACGTTTGTTAGTAAATTTCAGCACCTAGCAAAATTGTCTTCTTATTCAATTTCCTGACTGTACCCGCGTTTCTACAAAATTTTAGAAATATCGAAATAGTGACCTACAGCCTTAGGCATTCAGGAAATCTCAATCTTCAATTACGTTGTATCGTTAGATCGTGTTGAAATAAAGAAATCAACAAGATATATTTTTAAGTGTATTTAACCACTTGCGCTGGCAACTGATTGCGGACCATAACGAGTGACCAAACCGTATACAATAATTCGCTTTCTTTTTGAACTCGTATCGTCGGTACGATATCACTGGATAGAAATTATTGAGAAGTCATAAATTTATTATTTGTTTTGCCTATTTTGTTTTACCTAAATATACTTAAAACTGAGGATTTTGGAACAAAAAAATTCTCGACGTGCGCGAGGTTAAGTACATAGGGTGGATCAAAAATCATTTCCTACTAAAATAAATCGTAATTTTTTTTATTACGTATTTGACGACCAACATTTGAAAGAAATAATTTCTAAAACATAATAAAAATAATCACGTCTTAACTTAAATTTAATTAATTTTTTAATTAAAATTTTATTAAAAGAAAAAAAAAATAGGCGAGAAGTAAATTTATAACAATAATCATTTCAAACAGTGCTAGACTGTCTTTACGCAATTGCTTTTAAGATGTACAAGTTAAATGAAAAAAAAAAAAAAAAAAAAAAAACAGATATCAGAGAAAGAGAACTGTCTGAGACCTTCCAGTGTTAAAATTTTGATACCGATCGCTGTAATTCACATTTTCAGCCACGTGATTCTCGCGATCGACATCGAACGAGATTACGAACGGTCAGTGTTTTCATTGTTTCTCGTACGCGATCGATATCACTTTTCAGGCACTTTCGACGATCTGGATCGAGGACGAAAGTCGCAGAAAATACGCGGCTTAATTTTCGAGACGAGTGATCGCGATCGATCACGAACACGGTCAAGTGCTTTTTTCATTTTATCGATTGCGAGAGTCGAGCATTTAGACCCCTTACAACCAGGTTATTATTATTTTATTATACTTGCCGACGGGGATCAGACGAGGATTTGTGATTGATTAAATTTTTTTTTTTTTAAATCGGAGCAATAAATCGGGGATTGACGCGTTGTTATCAGCGCGTTCGTTGGTGGTAACAACGATATATGTACATAAGAAAGTTTCAATACTGCAACTTGAGACGCAATTTCTTGTCCTCGCAACGTTAACCTTTCGTTAAGAATTACGATTATTTGTCTGAAATGAAAACTTTATTTTTTCATTATATATATTGGTTCTTTCAAATCTGTAGAACAAAA